GTGCGCCAGGACTGCAATGATATGAAGAATGAGGAAAAAAATGAGTACAGACCACTCATTCTTAAGACCTTGGGAGAGGGTCCTGGTCATGGGAAGGCCTTTATGGATATGGGAAATCTAAGTATATCTGTAGGGCAGAGAAAAAGGATTTGGGAGAGGAAGAAAAATTGAAGATGAAAGGATATTAATTATAGAAGCAAGATCTAGAAGTATACATAATGAGTTCAATTAAAAGGAGAATGGAGAAGACTGGCTAAATGTGTTTGGAAATAAGATTGTTGTAATAATTTATATTTAATTGCACCTTGAGTGAGTGGCCATCAGAGAGAGAAATAAGTTTGGCATGGTTGCTGTGAGAGAAAAAGGTAGCAAGAATACTAATCAAGGCACAAGTTGAGAGAGAAAAAGCTAAACCTGAATTTTACAATAAAAGAATACAAGTTATAAACTGAAAAATAGGCCTGTCCTCCTGCTACTTTCAGACTATCGTCTTAATGTTAACCTGAAGACCAATATGCTCCTTTTAGACATAGGGCTTTGGGTGATAGTAGGCACAATTACAAGTACTTAAGAGATTAAAATCCCTAAGACTTTGACATCAGAGATGTTTGAAATATCTAAAATATAAACTAGGCTATTAAAACTGTCTCTGTGTAACTGTTGATGTCATTGAACAAGAAAAGGCAGCATTTTTGTTAATCATTTATAGCCTATAAGGAAAAGTAGATGTATAGCCCTTGGTTCTTTTTTCACATTTTGATGACAAGATGAAATGATTCACACTCATTTACAGCATTACAACTAGTGTGGTTTAACTATGTGCAAAACCAAAAGCTAAGTAGCTGCTTATATCAAACATTTTTGATACAATTATGTAAAAGTTGACTGTTTAAGAACCTAATTGCTGGGTCCTGGGGAACACGAGTTGTTTAAGGTAATGTATGAACCATCAAATGTCTATAAAGTGGAAGACATTTTATACGAGGTATAGATAATTGTTACAAATAACTCAGAAAAAGAAAGATCAGTTCTTGTTGGAGTTATCTTAGAGAAGGCTTTCATGGGAAAAGAAAAAGAGGAAGTGTAGTATTAGTCTGTGACTGTCAGTTACTAATGGAATAGTGTTTTCTGTTTCTAGGCCTTATTGATTTCAGTTTTTATTTTTAGAAAACAAATTAAGTGAAGCTTCCGGAGGTAGGGCTGAAAATGGTGAAAGAAGTGATTTAGAAGAGGACAACGAAGGGGAGGGACAGGAAAATGGATCCATCGATGCTGTTCCTGTTGATGAAAATCTTTTTACTGGGGAAGATTTGGATGAACTAGAAGAAGAATTAAACACACTTGATTTAGAAGAATGACACCAAACAAGTCAATGAAAAAATTAAGCCAACTCAGCATGAGTTGAAATTGACTACATTAATTTTTTTCCACTTAGACTTCTTCAGGATGTTTATTTCCCATGCTGGTATTCTGGAGGGCTTAAACTCTCCTCCAGAAAAGGAATATTCTCCCTACGTTTTGTCTTCTGACTTTGGCTACATCTCATAGTAAGTTCAGAGTAGTTCATGATAAATTGAAAATATAATGGTCATTGCAGAAAATGATTGATTGTTGTAACTGTCCACTCAAGTAGAAAGTGTAACTGCTTTTCCAGCTTTTAATTTTCATTGGGCATGTGTTATTCCAAGGACAACAAAAATTTAAAATACCCTTTATTTAATTCAGTTTTTAATGAATGATTTTGTTTCTTTTGTATTTATATATGTTTAAAAGACTGCCTAAAATATGAGTGCTGTACATCATAAAGGAAACTGCATATGCAGATTCAGTATTGTAATTCTTTGAACATTTAAAATGAAACCTTTAATCTGACAAGATCAGTTGCAATGCCCTGTGTTAAACTGTTTTAAACTTTTTCCTCTTCTTTTTTGCCAATAAAGTTGTAAATAAAGACCATCATACATTAAAATTCAAATATGGACCCTTTTTTAAAAATTTTCTATCGAAGTTTTCTTAGCACTTACAACTTGAGGATTTTAATTAAATATCTGTTATAGTTAACTAGCACAGAAAGCATAGACATTTAAAGAATTTTCTTAAAACTGATTACAGAACTATGTAGAGTACTGACAGTACTACTATGAGCTTAGCAACACTAAAACTAATCCTTAAAAGGAGACTATAGGTAATATTATATGAAAAGGTTATTCCTGAATTGATAGATTATCAACCTAATTAAATATCACCTACTGTTGATCCAAATACTACTTAAGCATCGTTGTGGAGATCCATGGTGTTATAATAGTACATACTAGAGTTTGATTATTTGAAAGAAACAGATCCACCAGAAAACTGGGCTGAGGGCCTTTGACATTGAGATCCCCCGAAAAATTAGAGTAATATATCTCAAACGGGCATAATTTGCTAATGACATATTTAGTACTAATTATATCTTTGATTATTTTTATGAAGTATTTTCAAATATTGATACCGTACTTTCTTTGTTATTTGCAAATATAAATGGATTTTAAGGCAGCTAAGATAATAGCACTGAAATGTCTGGTGACTTGGGCCTTACTCTCATTTCTGCTTCAGATAAGTTGCATTATTTTCAAATCCTTGAATCTTAGCTGCTTCATCTGCATATAGAAGTTAAAGTGTTTCTGAATCATAGAGCCTAAGAAAAAACATGATTGTAAATCTTGTTAATTGAAAAAAATCAAAATCAATAAAGAAATTGACTTTCTAGCTCTTCAATACTAGTACTATAATTGGCATCTTTCAAATGTAGAACATCATTAGCCAAGTTTATTTTCCCATCTACAATGAAAGTGTACTTTTTGTTAAAAAGACTTGTTTTAAAATTTATATCTATGAAAGATTGTTCTGTTCTTTTTGTAAGAAATAAGTTTTAAATATTATTTATTGTATTTTTAATGAAAGATTTAAAATACTCTGATGAGCTTAAATCTTTCTAAAGCTATAAGCCAAGAAGATTTTTTCCATTTTTGGAACCATCTAAAACTTCTAAGAATTCTCATAAAAGTTAAAATCTATTTTATTTTAGACCTTAAGCGTTTGTTTTTTTTTTAATGTGTATAAGGTAGGCCTATGTAAACAAAAGTATACAACCTTACAACAAATGTGTGTTTTTGAAAACCAATTTTTCTTTAATAAGTGAGTCGAAGGGAAAATGCTGCAGTGTGGAGATAATTTTGGATACTTACAGTTCTTTAAATTTCACTTGGCCTTCATCTGTCTTTCCCTTAGGTTTCTTTTATTACAGATGCAACATAGGCTCAGAGAATGCAAAAGCATTTTAATCTGAGAATATCAAAATGCAAAATTCGCTTCCAAAGTAACAGTAATACATTTCACAGGCCAGTAGGTATAATTTATGTATTGTTCACAGTACAGTTACCCTGTATTATTAATACAGTAAACCAAAATTGGCTTTTTAAAACCCATTTACACATGTTTAATTTTAAGTAGTTTTTTCTTACAAATTGCTTCTATATAATTCTCATTGTTAAGATAGATCTCTGTAATCCAATGTAAAATAATTTAGCTTCATTTTAAAAGATTCGTAGTTTACAAATTCAGAAACTTATAATGAAAGCCTTCCACAGGAGAGGAACTATGGTTTTGCACTTGTTTCCTTACAGTCTGTAAAATGAGATCATTTCCCCAAATGTAAGAATGTTTCATTTTCTCCTTAATATCTATGAGATTACATCAGCCTATACTTTTTATTTTATACTCAATAACAATTATAGCCTATAATGAGCTCATGTTTGCCAAAAGCTTTCTAGTTCAAAATAGTTAAATTATAAATGTTTCTTTATTTTTGCATAAATAACATTTGCTACTGTAAGCCCACCATGGATAGACTGATAAAATTGTATGATTGTACCATATATTTTTAATATTTGAATTAGTCAATTAACTATTAAGTGATTTAGAATGTTAGAGTTATGAAACTACAGGATCAAACATTTAGGTGTAGCAGATCATTAAAGCATCACATCTATCCTCAGTTTTTAACAAAGTGTACAGATGGAATTTGTGACAAGTTCATACAGATGATTTATGATATTATATGATTTCTATTCATATTCTAAGCAGTGAAGTTTGTATAAAGAACTTTCAGGATCACAGACTACAGACTAATCCTCTATATTGAGTTTAGGACTGTGATTCTGATACATATTAAACTATTATGTTAATGTTTCCAGATACTTAAACACTGTGCTTGTACTGTATGAACCTATACCTATGTTGCAATGAATGTATCTCAAGGAATACCAGATGAAGGATGGATTACCAAAATCTTGTTTTCGTATTTTTTTAAGTGTATATCCTACTAATAACAGCAATGTTTTCTGAAAAAAATATTTTGTTTCTCAATAATTACAGAGGCAGAAATTAAAAGTTCACAGCATTTGAATTCTAAACTAGAATTTAGCAACATCTGTAAAATTTCATAGTATCTTCAGAAACAAATCTGAATGAAACATTAGTACAAAATGCATTTTATACCCCTATTTTAATGTATGTTTACTCTTACATTGTTAATTGCTTTCTGTTAGTATGCAAAGAAGAGAAACGATTAGTTTTCATTCAATTAACATTTTTGTGTCTTTTCATAAATAAGGCACTAATTTAGGCATTGTAGGTAGGATGAACTATATGACTCAGCTCAAGGCATTTTCTGCCTGATTTGAGAATACATTTTAGAAAGGGAAAATCACAAACAGGTAAGGCTATAAAACATGAAACTGAGATAAGTGCCTAACCATTAATAGGAATGCCTTTTCAATTAAACTGTAGGCAAGCCTTTTAATTATTTTGTATTCAAATATCATTATTTAAATTTTCTTTTTTATTAAAATGTCCTTTGTGAAAATACTGCAAGATGGTCGTTTTTAGGCAAAGGTGGTGGTTTTATACGTGGTTCCCAGAGACATAAATTTCTGTGACAGCCAATCTGATTTTCAAACAGATGTATATATGTAAAATAAACATCGGAGACTTGAGCACGAGGACTTAGTTTCCTTAGCGCTAGCGGTCTAGGTAGCATCATGCTGTAATTGAAGAGACAATGAATACTTACCATTTTTTTGGCAGTTAATCTTTAGTGTGTACCAATGTTTTCAAATGAATATATCAGTTTCATTCTATATATGCAGCTATGTTTCTTTCTACTTGTGAATCCTTTATTTTTATCTAAGTCTTAGGGAACTCTTTCAGTGACAAAAGTCATCACTACCACTTTTACTACTATACATAGTTTAAGAATTTTGTCACGATGTTACTACTATTTTTAATTGGGTAGCTATTTATTTTGAGCAGTCCTGTTCATGACTTTACATCATGTGTATAAATGTATCAAAGAATGTATAAAGTGAGTAACTGAAACCTTTCAAGTTAGAATTATAGTATACAATAATACACTAATTGTGTGGGTCGTTAAATGATTGTGCATTATTGTATACAGTTGCCCCTTGAAGAATAGAGGTTTGACGTGACATGCCCCCCCAAGTTGAAAATCTGAAAATAACTACATCCCGCCCTCCTCAAATGCAGATTCCCAACCACAGATTAAAAATACGTTGACCCTTGAACAATATGTGTTTGAACTCTGCAGGTTCACCTGATATGCAAATTTTTTTCTCCCACAAATAAGCGGACCTGCCCAGTCCAAATCTGTGTTCAAGAGTCAACTGTATATTGTAAATATTGCACTTAAATTTAGAAAGATTTAATGTGGTAGAAGTAGAATCCACTGCATGAGTAGGAATTTCATCCTGGAATGTTTACTCATTCAATAGTGAAAGTAAAGACTTTCATAACGAAATCCTTTTGATAATTTTGTGAATATGTAATCGAGAAGCCAGTTAATTTGTAGAGATGCATAACCAAACCAGCTGTCACTTAACTGTATACAACCTCATGAACTAACCACATTGGTGGTTCACTACATGGACCTTTTTCTTCTAATATGCTAAAAATTATTAAATATTTCTACACCTCTTGCTTTGATTACCCAAAATAGAAGGAAAGGTAAATAAATATTTAATGAACCTTTATACTTCAGATCTATCTTCTACCTCTGTAGGGGAGGAGAACTTAATCACTAATAGTTTTAGCCTATTTATCTACAATAAAAAAAAGTCTAAAAGGAATTATGATGTAATCTAGTTTGAGCTAATCATTTCCATTTTTTAATTGGTCTTTTTGTTTTCCTCAGAGAAGTCTAACGGTAAGGGTAAAAGCCTCAGCTGTCTTAATATGCAGCCTTCAGGAACCCTTAGATATATGGAATGGCTTATATGTAGGAGACCCTATCCATCTCTTGACAACCACCCCACCCCTTTTCTCTCCCAGGAAGATTTTTAACAGCAAATAATTTTTAATTATTAATCATTCAACATTAGAACTAAATAAAAATCATTTAATTTGTAGGTTTATTACACAGGTGTTTTTTGATTGCTGATATTTGTAAAAGTCAAAACTGAAGGATGAATATTGATACCCTTTATTTAAAAAAACAGCAAATTATTACAAGTGAAGGAAGTATCAACAGGTGAGTTGTCTATAAATTATGATTAGCATAAGTCTTATGATTAGCATAAGACTATTGTCCCTGTGAATGTCTTCTCAGCCTTTCATTGTCTTTTTATTGTCTATTGACAATGGAAGGCTGGGAAGACGTTCACAGAGACAATAGTCTTATGCTAATCATAAATCTCTGTGTCCATATACAGCATGCTACTGTAAAAATACCATGCTACTGTACAAAAATATCCTTGAAAAGGACAAATGCAAGGACAAAAACGGTTTATGATAAATTCTCTTTATAATACATTTGCACAAAATCAAAGATTTCATCTCTTCAAGAACATAGTACTTTTCACTTTACATGCAAGTCATAAATATAAAAGGATGAAATTAAGAAATCCCTTTGAAGGATTC